ATGAGGTCAATGCACGTATAGTGAAAGCCAGAGCAGCTTATGCCAATCTGGGCCACCTTTGGCGCCTTCGTGATGTTAGTCTGGCTGTAAAAGGTCGGATCTACAACGCGTCGGTGAGAGCAGTTTTGCTCTATGCTTGTGAAACCTGGTCTCTCCGAGTTGAGGACGTTAGACGACTCTCTGTGTTCGATCATCGCTGTCTCCGAAGGATTGCTGACATTCAGTGACAACACCATGTCAGTAATGCAGAGGTTCGGCATCGTGTGTTCGGGCACAGAGATGATAATGCAATCGATGTCACCATCTTGAAACACCAATTTCGGTGGCTTGGACATGTTCTCCGAATGTCGTCCCAGAGAATTCCACGTCGTGCATTATTTGCCGACTCTGGGACTGGTTGGAAGGAGCGGAGAGGTGGTCAGTGCATGACATGGTGTCGTGGCATGAAAGAAAGCTGCAAAGGACTGGCTTGTGTTGGTCCTTCACGACTCCCTGGTTGGGGTCCGAGAGATGGTGCTACACAGTGGCTAGAGACGTTATCAGATATGCCTTAGAATAGAAGCTAGTGGCGATCCTGCTGTAACCTTCTTTTACTTTCTTCATAAAAAAGTGATTGTGTCTCCCTTAACTGAAAGACTTCTTCTGATTGTACCTTTCCGTTCCTTCATTATTACTACACTACCCTACACCAATCCCTTCGTTATTGTTTTCTTTTTTTACACTTCTCACCTTTTTTTTCTCTTCGAATTCTCATTGTTTTGTGTGGTGCATATATATTGGCGCTCTCTTGTACCAATATTTGTGTTCAAATAAATAAATAAAATAAATTTGGATACTCGGCGAGGTAACCATAACGCACAAAAACCTTTGGCAGCTACTGCGTTGCGATGAGTAGTTGTTTTGAAGTCGCGACTTACTTTTGTGTCCCTGTACTTATGGAAGCAATGTACCGTTGATAGCATACTGGTAACTATTACCATGCCCAATGTGCATGAGCACACTCTTACTGAAATTAATTCCTAACCTCCAGATTTAGGACCATCTAACTAGTTGGTTTAAGACAGCTTGGAGGTCGAGTGATCAGTCTCACTTCTTACTGTTCTCCAGATTTTGACATCGTCCGCAGACAATAATGACGATAAACGAAGAGATCGCGGTAATTTATTGATGTGGAGAAGGAGAAGTAGAAGACCTTAGATGGTGCCTTGGCGTACACTACTTTTGATCGGCTTCCATCCAGGTAGTGTCCCATTTACTCTCACTTTCTGTCTTCGACCACAGAGGAAGTTTCTCATCCATTCCTGTATATTACCAGCTATTCCGAATCTCGAGAGCTTCTGCATAAGACCTAAGTGAGAGACCTTACCAAATGCTTTGCTTAAGTCTATGAATATATCAACAACACACTGTTATCATGGGTTGCTGTCCAATCCTCTCTCGCAATAAGTAATTTGCCTAAAAATGAATGCTTATATCGAAAACTGTGTTGTTCGGGAGTTAACAGATCGTATGATTCTATGTGACTTAGTAATTTAACCCGAATCACCTTTTCAAGTAACTTAACCACTATTTGGTCAGACTGACAGGCCTGCAGTTAGACACAGTCAGTCAGTAACAACGCAGAACTTCGTACGTACGTACATCAGTTCAAGTTGCCACACCACATTAGCACAGAGACGCAGTGATCGACTCAAATCCCGTAGAGCTAGATGTAGTAAAATTATAAGCTGTAATAAGAAAAATTAGGGTTTGAAGATGTTATTCAAGGAGTATAATCCAGTGAAATAAATTTGGAAAGAGAAAAAAGGGACATGAAGAATTCAGAAGATTAGAATTTGGGAGAACACAAAGAGTGGATGCACCTGCGCCATTGCAAACAATTTTGAGCCATGTCATTCAGGGTCTCTAACTATCGGTTGCTATCATCTCGCGGTCCCCAACCAGGTAGTCTACACCTACCAACATGACCCAGTCTACTTGTCAGTGACTTTATGGACCTGTGCCATGTTTTGGTCTGGCTACCCCTAGCTTTCTTCCAACCTACTCCTATACCACTGAACATCGCACATCGAGGCAGTCGGTGGTTGGGCATACGTAACACATGTCCCAGCCATCTCAACTGATGAAGTTCCACTACATCGATTGATTTGCCATTCTTAAATAGTACCCATTTCCTAACAACTGCATTACTTACTCGATGGTCCCAGGATATACGAGCAATGTTTCGAAGACACCTATGATCAAATACTAGTAACCTACGGATATCCTCTACTCTTACCGGCCATGTTTCACTGCCATAAAGTAGGACGGAACGAACTGCTGCGCAGTAAACCCGTCCTTTGGTTGATAGACGGATATCTCGCCTACGCCATAAATGACGCAAGTTGGTAAAAGCTAGTCGAGCCTTCTGTATCCGTGCTGAGATTTCGTCACACACCAGACCACAAGGGCTGATCAGACTTCCAAGATAAGTGAAGCAGTCGACACGCTCAACTACTTCACTCCCTATCATTAGTTCGGGTGTCAATGCAAACCAATCCTGAAGCAACATTTTGCTTTTCGAGGGGAGGGGAAATCGCATCCCGAACATGCTTGCATTGTTGCTTATGTGCTGATCAGAAGACTCTGTATTTTTTCATTGTCCTCACCAAACAGAACTATGTCATCGGTATATTCTAGGTCAAAAAGTGAATCTCCCGGTAGAAGTCCAACCCCTGGAAATTTAGATGGGGAAAGTGTTATCTCTAAAAGCACATCAACGACCAAGTTGAACAAGAATGAAGAGAGTGGACAGCCTTGACGAACACCACTTAAGGTAATCAATTCTGATGACAGTTCGCCATAAGCTCTCACTCGACCAGTTGTGTTCGAGTAGAGAGCCTTTATAAGGTTAATGTACTTCTTTGGTACTCCTTTCAGTGACAAACACTGCCACAAAACATCACGACCAATAGAGTCAAATGCTGCCTTAGGGTGGAGAAATACTACGATTGTGTGGCGCCTGAACGTATGTCTATGTCCTAGAACCTGACGTAGTGTGAATATCTGGTCTTTGCAACCACGTCCAGGTCGAAAACCAGCCTGATTTTCTCTAGCCTGCTCTTCACGAGCTTTGGTTAGGCGTCGAAGTATTATTGAAGCTAATATTTTAGACACTATATTTGTCAAACTGATTCCTCTGTGATTGTCACAAGAGGACTTTTGTCCTTTCTTATAGACTGGCACAATCAGTGATTGAGATCAGTCAGATGGGATTACTTATGTGCTTATGTGCTGATCAGAAGACTCTGTATTTTTTCATTGTCCTCACCAAACAGAACTATGTCATCGGTATATTCTAGGTCAAAAAGTGAATCTCCCGGTAGAAGTCCAACCCCTGGAAATTTAGATGGGGAAAGTGTTATCTCTAAAAGCACATCAACGACCAAGTTGAACAAGAATGAAGAGAGTGGACAGCCTTGACGAACACCACTTAAGGTAATCAATTCTGATGACAGTTCGTCATAAGCTCTCACTCGACCAGTTGACACCTTACTGACGAAGATGAACACAAATCATTCATTTACTGGTAGCCTAAATCACCGTAAGCAGTATTTGGAGCTGTTTGAATCATATCGATTGAAAAAGAACATGGCCTTTAGTTTAAAATGGTTCGGTGTTGCAGTGATTCCCGACCGTTGCTGCTACCTTGACGTCGTAGTTGAACTCGCCTATCGTGAGGAACCAATCGAGCTATACTGGCTGCGACAGTCGGTCCTACCATGTCAGACAGGTCGGTTGAAGAGCGGTGAGACTAAAAGCCGCAAACACAAGGTCCGAGGGCGAAGTCGTACTGCTGACTGTACATAGGTGTGGCGGCAGCAAGGTGTTTCCTTCAGACAATTAGCATAACAGTGGTGATGCCTTCCCTCAAGGAGGGGTAGGGTTGGAAAATGTCGGCCCTAAAAATGCACACCTCGCCTTATCCCACGGATATCGGTCTCCGGCGGCAAGGTTCCAATAAGAACGGAGCTAACACGAAAATTACTCACAAAGAGGTCGTGTGTGACCGACCCCAAGCAGGTGTCTCTTGGGCACTGCGGCACACTCTCAGATCACTAAGACCACCCCTAACCCAATTTCCTTTTCAAGTACCTCCAGAAAAATTTTTCCACGGTATGGGATACCGGGAAGTGTTAAATGCCCTCATAGCTCTAACAGCACTGAAGATCACTGCAGTGATTGCTCTTGTTACGTGGATCACAACCAGACGGTCTACACAAATTCCTATTTATCAGCTCAAGGATCGGTGGCTTCATGAACTGATATCACCTCTTGGTTTGGTTCCTATCGATTTTCTTCCAGCTAACTCTTGCACTAGGCAATATCGCACATCTAGGTAATCGGTAGTTTGTACTATGTAGTGCTTATCCCATGCACCTCAGTTGATGAATATTCGCTATCTCATCAGTCTGCCTATCATCTTTTCCCAGTAGCCTACCGGACTCCAATGTTGTTCACTTAATGGTCCTAACATACACGAGTAACACTTCGAAGGTATCTATGATCAAATAACCTAACCTATTATTATCCTCTATTCGTAATTGATATGTTTCACAGCCATGCAGTAGAACAGAACGAACTATGTTATACACTGGTTCTTTAGTTGATAGACGGACATAGCGCCTAATCCACAGAACATGCAAGTTGGCAAGGGCAAATAAACTTAGGTCTGCACTTCGTTTTGGTCAAACACCAACCAGGACTGACGGGACTCCTGACATAAGTGAGATTCTCGATTTGCTCAACGTTGCTACACTTGTTTACATGATTTTGCTTTGGAACTGTGCACAAACTGAAGTCATGGCTTAGTATTTTGACTATATTATGTTTGGACTGAGCATAATTGGTTTAAAACTATCACGGATTTCGAACAAAAACTCTCAAGTTCAAGCTGTTTGTTTTGGCATCTAATATCAAATGATTTCTGAAAATGTTTGTTGTATTAACTGTTCTTGTAGTTCCTCATGAAGCGTAAGCTATCTGATGATGGTGTTACCAGCCCCCAAAAAGTTATGAAGGTATCCAGTATACCTGAAATGAGTCAGTAATCTTGTTTTATTGGTAAATATTCTTATTTTAGAAACGGTATGTGATGCTCTTGAATATCTGTTTAGTCTATATCCTTCTATGAACTCAAAAAATCTTGGCCGCCCAATCGTTTTGAAGTCACAGTTATACACTCTTGTAAATAATCGGAACAAAGTAGAATCTCAACTGGTTTGTCGTGTTTTAATCATTTCTAATGCTCAGTGTTTTTAGTCAGATATGCAGACATCTCAGAGAATACGTTTATTAAACATTGACGACCAAATCGATGATTCCGTTGGTATAATGAAATCTGATGATTTTGTAAATTCTTTCAGAGATTTCTCTATTGATGAGTCAAAGATTTTAGGTTTAGTTATAATTATATTATTCCTAAGTTTTCAGAACGATTTGCGGAATTCACTAGTCAAAAGTATCATTATTTAAGCTTATGTAAACGTGTTGCATCGGAGAATTTTTCGGATAATGAGATAAGCATTCTAATACAAAATGGAGCTTTAACCATCAAATCCGAGAACAGTTGGTACATTTCCACTCCATATCTTGGTGCATTTATTCGTGCCTACAAAGCTGGTCAACGGGGTTTATTAACAATAATTAAGAAGACGCGATTCAAAGAATTATTGCTATCTGTGAGTTCATTTTGCATATAAATGCTCTTTTAGTTAGTAAAACGGATAGCTAATTCCTAAAGTTAATTGTGTTTTTATGTATTCACTGAAATGAAAGTTTAGTATTTTAAGCAATATTTATGTGTATATTGTTTAGCTAATTGAAAGAAGTTAAGCATAATTAAAAGGTAATGAAGCCAAATTGTTTTTGCGAAATATTATTTGGATTAAATAAATGCTTGTTTTTGCTGTAAGCGATTATTATTATACGCTAGTTCGACTTATTACACTTGATACTTTAAGCATTCAATTTTTAACAGGCGATTTGAGCACGGTTTCATCTACTCTCATTTTAGTATTTGGATAGCGTTCCTTCCTCTTATGTTAAAGTACTGCTTAAAACCTATTATTAAAATCAAAAATACTTACCATGAGGCTCAAGAGGGTTAAGCAAATAGGAAAGGATTACTTACCAGGGGCTAGCAGAAAAAATCTATTTCTAAGGGTGAGAAAACAATAAGTGAAAGTACTTCATAGACTTCTGGAGTCTGATCAACACTTAATGGCCACTTTTGTTGTTTTTGGAGATCTGGGATAATATAAGTCACTAAAACAGGCAAAACCTAGAAATCCTTGTTGCAAAAGATGGGATGCACTTATGTACAAAATAAGGTCTGAATGTTTTAAGTCTTAATATCCATTGTACTGCACACGATATATCGTTACTGTTGACTGCACCAATGTTCTAAATACTTGTAAAAACTATTGAATTTATACAATATGAATTCATATAAATTGTAAAGCCGCGTGCTCTTGGCATATGTTTCTTAGTCTTCCTACATGTTATCTGAAAAAAATACCAGTTTTTATCTTTAAAAATTTTGTTAATACTAATTATTAGACTATTGAAATTCATCGTGTTAATGTATTATAAAAATGTGTCTAGTAGATAATGAGTTCACTATTTCTAAATATGACACATTTATGACTATAGAAAAATAGACAGCTTTTCATAAAAATATTGTAGATGTTCAAAGGTGAAAAGTAAAGGAACACCTGTAATTTAGCAACTTTCTGGTCAAGGTACATATGCATAGCATATTTGTCGCGGTATTGGTCAAAACAATCTACAGTTTATAATGGTGAGACAAAGTTAAAATTGGAATTATAACCTGTTTTACATACAGGGAGATTTAGTAGATGAATAAAATAAAATGTCTGAAACGATCCTTAAGACACGATATATTTAGTTTCTAACTCGAAATTGAACTAAAAAGGCTAGTAAAATGCAATATTATGAGCTTACTTATGTACACTTCTTCATTCAACTAGCACCTTGTAATGATTTAATATATAAAATATAGATATTAGCTAATCCAAAAGATAAAAGTTCATACTCGGACTTTCTTTTACTCAAAGTCCCTTATGTCAGTGTCATTTGATTGCTTTTTCCATATCACAAAAAGCTGATGGTAGAATACGTACAACTTTTCACTTTATGTGAAAAGTTGTACCTTTAACACATTTGTTTTACTAGCGTATTGGAGGATTAAACTTATTGTTGCACAATGGCTAAGTAGTAATCAAAACATTTAACTTTCTACTACATGATGATATTTAAAATCCCGTTCTACTCTACCTAATTTGGTTTGTGGTCGAGTAGTTTTATTAACTTTTATAATAAATTTATAGCTCGAGGCAAAATTCACAGTCGTACAAGGTCAGTGAACCACATTTTTACCGATTTATTTTTTATCCTGTTGCTATATGTACTCAAATCGTAATAGGCATTTGAATACTTTTCTGGTTAGACAGTTCAATTCAGTCGTAAAAAATGTAGGACCAGGAACAGACGTGGTCAGTTCAAGTTGCTACACCTTATTAGCTCAGCGAGATTATTAAGAGAAATCCAAGAGTAGGAGAAGTAGTTCCAACATCAGTTGTAGTAGTAGAAACGACTAGACATAAACATTTAAAAAAATATATAAACTTTCAAGACTCAGGATCTAAGAGAATATGAAGAGTGAATGCATCTGCGCTACTACAACTGATTCTAAACCAAATCACCTAACGTCTCCAACCATTGATTCATAATAACTGATCGGACACCAAAAGGATATTCTGAACCTACCTACTAGGTTCAATCTAAATGTTAATGACTCCAGAAATGACGTAAGTCGGTAATTAGATAAATATGTTAGGATCAGACATCTTCAATGAATATTCTTCGTTATTAAAACTTATACTTGAGTGTCTTTTCAGTTGGATAGGACTCGGTAAATTGTTTGATTCTCGGTGTTTGTTAATGAAAAGTCTCGTATGTACACAAAAACCACACATTACTTTCTCATTTTCAAATTTCCCCATTTGATTTACGTGAGGGGTCACCTTCATTTAATATACTTGTTTGTCATATCATTTATGCTTAAACCAGTATATAGATAGTTTCCTTGTTTATGGTTCTGGTTTTTCTTAGGGATAAAAGTGGAAGACTAACGTCTAAAGTTGTCTTCCCACAACTACCGTTCATCTTAAAGTGAGCATATAACTTTCTTCCAATTAAAAAAATCTCAAGTTTCAACCATGGATGTACTTAGTAAAAGAGATCACATTATCATAATAAACCTGAAAAAACCCAGTTTATTGCGTGTAGTTTCAAGGTTATTCATTGACAGGTACTATAACTAGGTGCGTGACATCCAAAAAATAACGACGATAAAATATTACATACGTTTCAGCAACATCATATCCATAACTAATAATTTCAACTTGTGAAATCTGTTGCCTCGCTCGACAGTCTGGAAGTTCATTTACTAGTTTCTTCCGACGATATTTGAAAGCCACTTATTTATTTTGCCAAGTTACCTCAAATTTTTTTACTGAATTACACGCAACTGCGCATTAGTGAAATCGGAAAAATTACTCTTCTAGAAGTGGTTCGTATTTCGAATTAACTACGTTAACGACACTCACTCTGAAAGCACTTATTAAACCTATACTCCTGACTATAAACGCACAGAATAACAAAGATTTAGCTACTTTCGATAACATAGTCGATGGAATATCTTTACTAATATTAAATTGTTAGCAGTTTGTCGTAGTTAATTCCTCAAACGGTTTTTGTCTAGCTGGTAGTCGATACCATATATCTCTTTGCAAGGCAGTTTTTGAAAGTAATGTTTTTTATCTTAAAAGATGAGTATTTCTCATCGCTAAACACTACATCTGTTGACACAATTCATTTAGATTGGATATCAAGTACTAACTGTGTTCAAAAAGCATACTCGTGGCGCAAACTAATCTTCCCATTATTTTTATCAATGCTTCAATTTATTGAATTATTACGCAATATATATCTAATGTTTATTTCATACACTTTTCTTCAGGAGATTTTTCATCGAAACCTGGGTAAAGGTGCTTGTCTAGGTCATATGTATCACTTACTCGCCCATTTAGGAGCTGGAACTTTGAATTCGTAAGTCCGTCGTCTTCCTATTTACTTGCACATAAATCGGTATGTTTAATTCAAACGTTATAGAAGTTTTGCTTCCTGATAAGTATTCATGCACACAAAATCGATAAATAAGACAGTTCAACTCATTATAGAAATGACAATACCAGATGTAACATTGTCTCTGACCTAGCTCTTTTATCGGAATATGCTGGTACTAATGTGTGATATTAAAGCAGTTAAAAAGTAATCATTTTAAACGTCAACAACCATTACTAGTAAATAAGTAGTTGGTCAGGAACACTCAGTCCTTAGATTGCAACTCTGTAAAAGTGTACATATTTCAAGAAATGGATTAACTCTCATGATCAGTGTTTCTATTTTCAGATTTGAATCAGAGTCCCCATATATTGGATGGAACGCGTTGTCCATTATCTCTATGAGTAAAGCAAGGGAAACTGGTGGTTCCATGTAAGATAGTTCAAACATTAGATTACTTCCCTGCCTATTATGGCTTAGTCGTTTAAGTGCTCGTATCTTATCTATCCAGCCACATGTCTCTTACTTAGTAGGATATGCATTATACTACGAAATAACCTTAGCCAACCAGTCATTGAAAAACACGGAGCACCAAATAGCTATTTTGTCTCCATATGGGATTTCTCAACGTTGGGTACCCTCAAGCGCATCTAAGACTAAATTTAGGACGTTCAAACCTAGCAGCAAACGCCTAATCTTCAAACCACCAAGTCAGCATCCAGTCGTTTTTGTAGATAAACTTTCTGCGTTCAGTTGGTTATACTATGATGTATTTATCTGGACGGAGGAAGTCTACTTTCATTCAGTAATAACGTTGTGTAATTCACAAAAGTTTTGAACATGTTATTATGGGGAAACTTTGTACTATTACTATTATTTTCAAAATACTCGGATGTCGATTTCACGAATATTGTTGTGTAGTTTGCTTTCACAAACATATACTTTTTGTCATACCAGTAATCTGTTTTTGCTCTTATTGGTGTTCACTCTTGTACAGGATTCAAACTAGCTCTGGTTTGCTTATCAGAATGTAACGCTTCAAGAAAAAATGATTAACTTTATACAACAGGTTCGACTGGTTCTACTTTGACAAATTATTGGGAAATTAACTTCACTGTTTCGGTTTCCACTTTTGGTATAATATAAAAAATGTTACTTTCTATATTTGTGTTGGTTAAAAGCAAATCCATTTTATATTGTAATTAGCTTTTGCTTAAGATGCACATAGTAAACCAAACGTAGTAAACTTTCGAGTAGTTATTTAAAGATCTTGTAAGAAACGGTGAACTATCGGGATGAATGAACTGAACACATTAAATGAAGATGTCAGATTGTTTTAGCTATGCAATTGCCTTCATTTTAGCTATATCTAGATTGTATTTGGTTTCATTTATCACTTATTTTATGTTTTAACTCTTATCTTTGTTTAGTTATTATTAAAACGGTCAGTATCCTTCTGCATTTGTTTTTTCAGGCCCTAAGATTAGAATAAAGTAACTGCACGATGTAAATAAGTGTCTTTAGTATTTATATGGATTTAAGGATCTCGACAAACAGGCTGCACTCTTACTGAAATAGCGGATAACTACTTGGTGATAAATTAGTTAGAAAATTCCCAGCCAGTTTTATCTAGCCGAAGTTTTGCACAATAACGTTAACCCCAATTTAGTTTGCGATTGCGCATTGGTCTCAGCTAAACGAATCAATAGTCAAATATATGTAGTGTGTTGGTGGAGCTAGATACAACCATTTGTATCCAACTTGATATCTTGAAAGGCTAAGAATATCGTTAATGAGACCTCAGTGCTAGTCATCTTAACAGGATCACCTCTACAAGTAACGTGTAGTCGCAAGGTCTGTCTGAGTTCAACAGCAATTAACACACTAATTGTGTGGACAATTATAAACTACATGGTGATGGAAAATTGTTCAACGTAAAATGAAACCAGCAAGCCAAATAATATGACCAAATTCAGAATACTGATTTTGGACGATGGGGGCTTGTGTAGTGTTTCCAACTGTTAAAGCAAGGTCTGATTTCCCACCACAAATTTTAAACAGATGTAAGAACATTTCTTTATAACAATAATATCTTCACCAATGAAGTATTGTCTTTTACAAGGAATCAGCCAAAAAGTATGATATCATAATGACCTGTTTCTCTAGATTTTTCACAGCACGTTGTATTTGGTGTAGTAAGACAATTTAAGTGAAGAGACGAAACTAGAGATTAGTGAGTCTTCTTGTCATAAGAACTTATGGTTGTTCTACCGTAATACCTAAATTTTGGACAAACTTTCATAGTTTAATCAGCTTGTGGCTAGTGAGTCACTTTTACGTTCCCAATAGCCCTGTTCTCTTTGTAAGCAGCTACGACCTTCGACACATGCACCTCTTTTGTTCATATCCTTGTCAGCTATATGCTTATGTGTCCTAAGTGTAGGTATCCATATAATCATTATCTAACCCGACATCCATCTTCTTTCTCGGATTATTCATTATTACGACCTACATTAACGCTTGTAATAAGTAATATTTTGAGTAGACAGGTTTTGCTATGTGTCTCTGATTTATGGCTGAGTGAAATACATGCATCCAAAAACTCGCATTTTATGTTATTCTGTTATTTATTGACGCAGTTAATCCGATGAATATATACAAATTAGACCAAGTAGGTTTATTTCATCATTTCTCGTCTATAGTAGTCAACTACAGGTCAGAACCTCGATCTGACTAATCCCTAAAAGATTAAGATTACAACAATTGCTTAAACAATGAGGTTTTGTCGTACAGAAAGAACATAAACATTCATCACTAATGTTTGTTAAAAGGATATTTGAATGCAACTAATTCGGATTTTAGGTTATTTTACAATGTGTCCTGACGGCGAAGTTACACAACAGTTGAAAGTGTAAAAATTTACTATGATTGGGAAAAAGATATTGAGCTAGAACCGACATTTAAGAAGGCTCTTTTACCGTTAGGACATAATAAATTTGTGTAAAGGAGTACGATGCCTATTTTTGACATTTTCAAAGTGCTTACAGAGTGAAAATACATTTATCGTTGTGAAATCAGGAAATGTTTAGTCTTCTTATATAGCCCTAACTAATTTTCTATCCGATGAAAACTAAGCTAGCAACATAATGTGCAGGAGTAGGTGAAAATCCGCTCGTTTACTGCTTCATGTGTATGATCTCACTATGGATGTGATTTGGTACATAGAACATATTGAATCCCCCATTTAATACGAGATAAAGTCGTTTTTCTCATACACCATTTTATTGAGACGAGGTGATAAATCACGTAGAAACAAATCTTCAGTTATCATTCAATAAAATAATTAGGATGACGAATAATAAAAGTGGATTATGCGGTTGAACATTTTCTTGATTGTGCAAAAATATAGACAAATATGAAATCATTGTGAAAGACACTTAGCTTGTTTTATCTAATAAGCAATATGTTGTTAGTCTCCGGATTATGTTCGGATTACCACTGTGCGATTGTCAAATAGTGAATCAGACTGTGAGTATGTCTTTGTAATTAGGTTAGAATCTATTGTGTTATCTTCCACAGATCCAATGCTCCCATAAGACCGGACTAATGACATTTGCCCACGCGAAATCGAGGCTGTGCTAAGAATTCGTTGACATCTAACAGTAGGTTCAACACGTCTTGGCCTGTATACCAGCAGATGGGCGGGATAACGACATACTGATTGGGCAAGACAATGGAAAACTACGAGGAATGTGACACAAACTATCAATGGTAAGAAGAAGCCAATATGACTAACTTCCTCCGTTCGGCACCGAAATAAGTTGTACCAAGCCCATTGTGTGCGATTTATGGCATTTTGTACGTCCAAACATACGGCGAAACGATGACCAGAGCGTTCTTTTACAAGGAAATTTTGATTCCCTCCTTCTAGAGAGTTATATCTTAGGAGATTATTAGTGTAGTAATCTAGGAGACTATAATACGCTGCTGAACAATTTTGACAAACCGTCGAACTGATATTTAAGGTGCTAGACGAGGGGAAATTTAATACATTGAGAATAGATATGTTGGGATTATTGATGAACTGCATGAAACAACTTAAAGCATCATCAAGCTTCTCGAAGAATGTACGCACGTTTTTACTGTAGACTTGCAAGTTGTATAGAAAATCCGTATGTAGAAGGCGTCTAGGCTGTTCTATGTTATTGAAAGAATCCGCTGATATACTAATGCTTTGATCGGAATAAACTTCTTCAAGACAATGGGAGCAGAAGGAACGATTCCATTTATCGAAAATGAAGTCGATAGAATCTATTGTACCCTGAAACCGAATAGTGATACCATAATAGTAAGAAATCTGCAAACAAAATCATACGCACACACAATATGAATTCCTGACATTTGTGCCTTTGAAGTAAAAGGAATAACGTTATTCACATAAATGCTTTGATATCTGTATAATTATCGCGCAACCGTCGTTAACTTTGTGGTTTAAAGCTATGTTTGAGAAAAATGTTACCGAGTTTGCTATCGCCCTACTTCAATTACATTCAACCTTTAAGGTAGTAGGTAATTCTTGAACGTTGATTTATTACACGCAAAGAAGATACCAATTCGACTACAGATTGAAATCCTCCCTATTTATATTGTGGATTGTCATGCCTTGTGTGTTGATAAATAGATTGCATTGTACACTATTAGCCAATAACAATGCCGAATATCTTTTTTAGACGTTTTTAATAAGTAATAATGTACTGCAAGTACACTCGCGTTGTTGAATATGCACATGCAGTAGTTAATAAGCTCGTTATACATACACCTTAACAGTATGTTTTTCGTGTGAAGCCTGAAAGACATACAAAATTCGTTTCAGTTATTTTTCAGTCGGGTTGAAAGGAACTGTTGAGGAACAGTCATTAATGACTGTTCCGTCGGAAGACGCCTGTCTATGAAAACTCAGAAGTTCCTATGCCTAGTCTTCATCACTAGAAAGCTATGAAGAAAAGGATAGTGATCGTTTTCTAGAAGCAATATTCTTAAATTTTTCTTTTCGTTGACGGGAATAAACATCACTAGAAGTGCTGATAGGTCATGTAAAACATTACTTCTGTCCCATCCTAGTAAGATCATAAGCATGAGTGGTAGGATTATAATTTATGGACAACCTTGAGCAACCGATGGTGACCTACAGACGATCCACTTTGCCACGGTCAAGAGATGGTATTTACGACTATGAACTACAGTAAGGAATTTCGTCACGAACTGACATAACCTATAATCACAAAATACCATTTTAATACATGTGTGAATGTATTTTGTGTCCAAATGTAAGACTTGTTATCCTTAGTTTTATTGGTTCAGACGGGACTGTGATATAGGCTTTTCACATTGATGGTTTTACTGGGATTTCTGAGATCAGCATTTTAGAATATTATCACTCGCTTCAAAGGCTGAGAATATTTAAGTTCATTTCAAAGACCTATCTTTTGTTTTTAAAATACAAATGAACAACCGAAAATTAATAAGTTTACCCTGATTCGAAGTGCAAACCTCGAAAAAACTCACCCTTTCTGTATTCGCCAAGAGATCAGCACATGCCTCGCCATTCGCACTATAAGCCTCTTGTTCTTCTATGACTTTCTTTAGTTTATACACAGTTTCACTACACCAACCACAAAAGGAAACGGGTGATGTTTTGGTTGACATATTGTATATTATATTCTTAACGTATATCGACACATTTTTACGGTACTCAATGCAAATATTATTTATTAAGATGCTGTTATTCCCAAGTGATGAACATGCTTCGAAATAGATAGCCAACAAAAAAATTACTGAACTCAAGTACTTCTTAAGTGCCATTGCATCGCATAAGGGGCAAGGTATAAACGGTAATCCCTTTCAAATCTGTCCACCGTTTCGTTTCAACGACCTTGAACGCGCTGACTGGAAGCGGGCAATCCGTATTTCAATTGCCGTGTGTGTGTTGGGTCCTATGAGTATTAAATGTTTCCATATATAAGTCATCTTTTGATGCATAATAAACACTAAATAACTGCTAAGAGCATTAACTGAGTATTTTCTGTTTTGTAGTGCACATTTTAGCTCTGTTGTTCCTTCGAAACTTGATCTGTGGTCCTAAGTGCTGTAGTGGAAGTCAACAGCTATATATAATTTGTTGATAAGGTCCAGAAAACAACGTAAGAAAGATAAAATAACGTAAAAGGTTATAGATGCGCCTAGTTTCTGTGAGTTAAGACGAAGTGTCAACTGAAGGGTAAGTCCTAAATATTTGTTGTTCTTCCTTCAGTTAATTTTTTTCAAGGAATAACCTTTTTTTAATAACTATTGTATGTTGTCTCTAGTGCTTCATGCTCAAGTGAAATTTCAGTGAACGTAAGCGACGCGTTCCAACGTATTATGCTGAACAAGAGATTCGGAAGCTGGATTAAAGTATGATAGGATAAACCTATGTTTTCTCAGATGACCCATACACACTATGTTCACGCAGAAAGTAGATTGTTGAAGGATGTGAGATATAAATACTTGTTCGTAGTGTTTCGTTGCACGTTTGGTCGTAAACGTAAATCAGAAGGTCTGAATGTGAATAAAAAACCGTGAGGACTCTAACTAATGTGTTACATTTAAGGTCTAAATTTTTAAATTGCCAATCGATGTTTCGCGTAAGATTGGAGGGTCAACAATACGTTATAAAATCTTACGACATGTCTCACAACCATCGGTGTACTAGTTCGTGGATGGTTTGTGATCCGTTGAGTAAACGATTGTCATCAGAAGAAAAAGAAAACTTGAAACCAGTTATATTGCACTGTCAGTCGACGGACGAAGTTATCGAAAGTATTAAGGAAAGAACAGGTAAGCAGGTGACCTCTGCTGATGTAAAAAATATGAAAGCTGAACTCTCCACTGGTAAGTGTATATAAATATATTTCAGGTTGAACTCGGAAGCAGGTATTGCAGATGATGCGACAAAACGGTGAAGTTAGAGAGCATGCAGAAAATGGATGTATTACGGCGATATGCTTCAGCAGTTATGATCAGATACGGCTGTACAGTCAATATCCCGAAGTCGTGTGTATTGATTCTACTTATAAAACTAATAATAAAAAGTGAATATGATTTTCGTTTTGTTCTACTATGTAGATATTCATTATTCCAGTTAGTGGTGACAGACAGTTGGGGCCGAGGTCGAACTGTTGTGTTTGCATGGACACAAAAAGAAAAGCCTGCCGATGTTACGTGGGTTTTGGATAAATTCAAGGAGATAATGGGTAACACGACCAAAACAGAAACATTTGTGATGAATTTCGCACGATCTGAAAGCGCGGCTGTCCGTATAACGCACGGGCATGCAAACATTATTTTGTGCGCCTTTCATTACGAAGTGGATGTAAGTATTTGTGAATGCAATTGTAGCACGTTTAATATGTGTCGATATCCGTGCCGCCATCTCCTGCTGGCATATATTAAAAGACGAAGTCTAACAGGTAAGCTATTTAAATTATAAAATATAAACTGCATAGCTCATCAACTTCTTAGGTGTTGCTGCAGATGGAAATTAGACAATACGCACAATTTACAAAACAACACAGGAATTTCATTACCGAGACGGAGTAAAGAATATATACAACTTCAACGGCTCCAAAGAATGTGCAAACAACAAATTGTTGAGAAATATGGTGAACGCTTCGCGAATCAGGTGGAGAGAAAAGTCTACAATTTTTACTTAAGAATTATAAACAGCTAGACAGCAGGTTTACGATTAACAGTTCTTTGTGGCTATTTATACAACTTGTAAACTTATCTTTCCACTTTAGTAGTCATGAAAAATCAATAAACTTTTTCTCATTTTTTATTTTCGTCTTCTTCATACTTTCATGGGGAGGTTTACCAATCGCTTTAACGAATAATTGTGTATGAAAATTAAGAATTTGTACTACTGTATTAGTTACGAACTGTCGTTAGAACTTAGCGTTATATCGTTGTTCATTGTGAGGAATCAACGAGTCGAATAAAACAATAATGCGACTTCCACGTAAAACCTTACAGACTAAACCGCCTTACATATTTTCCGTTGTCAGATTACGTCCATTATCAAGTTAGTATTAGTATGGAACTAGATAATTTCATGCAGCTAGTTCCTTGATAAGATGGATTACGTAATCCTTAGACCATCTTTCCACCCACACTTCTTTGCTAAATTATGTTAACTCTTCAGATTGTCTTCACTTATCTTATTAGTTCTTAATTCACTGATTTATTCATTACATCTAGAATTATCACACAATTTATCTTATATGCTTCTGAGCTTCACTCGACTATTACACCACCCATCCTTTATGTTCCCTTAAGTCTAACACCAAATGACCTTTGACCTGTTCAAGCATATACATATGTATAGTTATTATTGATAACCTAGGTCATTCCAATTCTTTGCTTTCTATTATCTTTCATACTATTTCTTCCCTCAATCTTAAATTATAATGCATATTCAGTTGTATGCAACTTATGAGAAACCACGAAATGTAATGCAGTCACATGATTCTGCGTCAATATTTGTTTTGGCTTTATTTAGACCATAATTATACAAACTTACAGGATTTATAATATAAAACACTGCGTATGGTTGTTATATTTATATTTAAATAATTCATTAGATGAATGAGCATAGCAGTAGGTAATATAAAACAGTTATCGTAAACTTGTAAACCGGTTTTCCACACGATCTTCCGTAATCCTAAATTCCATAAGCTTCATACTATTCTGAAAAACAACAAATCCGTTTTGAGACAAACAATTAAACTTTGTTCTCAGTATCATATTCAATAAATTATTCAAATAGCAAGTAACAGACTGTGCTTATAAGTCTTTTATTAACAAGTAGTGACATTCATTCATAACTTCCTAAGTAACACAACAACTGTATTACCGAGACGGAGTGAAGAGTATATAATAACTCATTTGTGAACCCTATAACAGACACCTCACAAATCAGTATTAACTAAAAAACATGGTTGTGTCACCATTCTCACAAGAAACACCGATCGTTTTATTCATGAAGATTTTGTTCCTACTTGATGTGGTGTTATACACTATTACTGCAGACGTTCAGAAAGCCGCTGGACAACACTATAAACGTCAATTGTTACTCACATATTTCTTTTCTCAGATACGTTACGTAATTATGTCACTTCAGTACAAAACAATGGTACCTCTAATAAATATAACCTTTTATGGCTAAATACAAGCAAGTTATATAATATTCACAATTAGGTTAACGCTTGATTGCTTCTACTTACATTTTATAAACAACTACCGACATCCATGTTCACCGTCACCGCAATCAAGGAGGTGAACCATATGTAAAAGATTTTACGGTTCATTTTCATGAAAACTCAATCTGTGGTGTATTTTTTGACTAGAAAAACGGTGAACTTTACTTGCTTGAGTTTGTATTGTTACAAATAACTATATTAAGCTAACTTCAGATTTACTTACGTGGTGAGCAAGAAATACGTCAAACTGCCAATAAATTGGAATAAAACTATGTTACAAGCACTAGCAATACAGAAATTGATGTGTCATGCAAAAAAGCCTGTTAATAGCTGATAAATAACGACACAAAAAATCCACGACAATATGTAACGTGTGCGCGAAAATCCCTGGCTTACCCGCTAGTCCGTGCCGCATAAGGCAGAGGAAAAATTCAAAAGTAACCCATACTCGACCTTCAAAGGACACGCTTTTACAAGCAGATAAACATGGAAAATTTAAAATAGCTCCTTAGTTTCCGAAGGTACGTTAAGATTCCAAAAACAGCATAACTCATTTTGGAAATGGGCAAACCTGAAACGATTATTAGGAAAGATATTTGTTAGGCCTGAATAGCCTTACTAATCATAAACTGCAGGTCTGAAATCACCTACGAGAAGCTATGTATTCTGAATAGGTTTGCACGTTTGACGAACGTCGTCAGTTACTTTTCAGGACTGAAATTAACTTGTAAACTAAATCCTTCCCTGGATATACACCTCATAGAAACCAAAGTACAATTGATTATACATTTCTACAACTCTTTCTACGGGTACTGTATACAGGGACAAAATTTCCAACTTGTTTTTGTCTCACTAAGTTGTGAACAAGTTTGTGAAAGACCGCTTCAAGGCATGCTCTTTATTACTGCATAACATGTACATTCACATATGTAGATGCATGATGATATTTATGGTGACATATATTCAGTGATTTTTGTAACAACAAAAATAGAAACCACATTTTTTCTCTAATTTGTCACACTTAAGTTGTAACCACATTTTTATTCAATATCTGTTGTTTTGCTGTATCACTTATTAAAAAAGACGATGATAATTGTTTCGATGAACGATATACACTCCTACTACCGGGTTGTTTAAAATATAGAACACTACCTACGCCGTTTGTTCTTCTGTTTTATTGGCCACCGTTTTGATTGAAGACTATAATAGTATTATAACATCATTATAGGCCTTCCGACTCAACGTTGTACTTTTAGCACGGATTACTATTGTATAATACTATTGGACTCCGTCTTCCTCATTACGTCTTTGGTGCAGTCACTTGCAGAGGAACACCTGTCAATCAAGTGAACTCAGTTTGTGGTCGTTGTCCTCACGAGGCAGTTAACAAGTAACATTCATTCTATAGTAACTGTTAGCGTCTGTTTTGTTTAATATACCTTTTGTATTGCTAACGGTATTTTATTACCTTTGTTTTTACTAACGGACAGACATCTAGGTTTCTTAATCATTAATTTGTTTTGGTATATCATTGTTAACCTAGTGTATCAATATATTTTGTGTAAT